TGAGCTATCTCAGGACCACTCTCTGGACAGGAATGGAGCAAGCGGAAGGAGAAGGAAAGCTCCCTGGGGGAAATCTGACTCTAAGCACAGAAGGGTGAGTTGCCCACTCTTCCTCTTCCTCCTCCTCCCACCCCTCCTAGAGAACAGACCAACCAGATACCTCTCTAGTCCCTGAGTTAATTCCAGCACAGGGGTGTTGCTGACCTTCAGTTTTCTGAGGACACTCCTGCTTGCTTAGCTTCACTGGGGAAGTACACACTGTTCCATGCCAGGCTGAGGCTGGGTGACTGGCTTCTCAACCGCCTCTGCCACCTCCAGGCACTCTGGCTAGCCACCACCCCCAACTCTGGCCCACACCCATTCCTGTGTGGCTACTTTGTGGCTGGACCTTCAAGGAACATAGTGACCCTCTCTCAGACAGGAGCACAGGACACTTGTGCATATGCTTCAAAGGAGGAGTCCAGAGCTGGACAGACAAGTGGGCATCCCCTTCACCCGAGGCCCGTCAGAGGATCCTGGACAGCTCCATGTAGAACGCCTCTTTCCTTGTCTGCCCTCCCCCCACCTCACTGAGAGGCCTGGCACTGCCTCACTTCCCCTCTCCAGCACCTGACCAAATGCTGAGGAGGCAGCAGGAAGACAGCTGACACGGCCCATTCTGTTCCCAGTTGCCTGGAAACCTCCTGCCTACCAAGAGGGTAAAGAAAGGATGACTCAAGGCCAANCCCAGTTGCCTGGAAACCTCCTGCCTACCAAGAGGGTAAAGAAAGGATGACTCAAGGCCAACGTTGGCCCTGGCCTCTCGAAGTCTGTACTGGCTACTGAGGCACAGACCCTTATTCACAACCTAAATGCTGACCACGGGAGAACCAATGACAGGCACTGAACTCCAGAAAGGGTAAAGGTTAGCTTCAGACACACCAGCCTATTGCCCTGCTGTGACCCACCAGGCCATTCTCCATTCTGCAAAGCGGGAAAGGCCAGGGCACATGGACTGCCCACTATAGCAAGAACCCTCAGATCCAGAGCCAGCCTCTCCCTTCCTGAGGCCAGGTCAGTGGAAGGATCTCAGCCAAGGCCATGCAAATATTAAAGAGGCAGGACCAGGACAGGAAGCCAGTTTTCAACTCCCAGCTAATTCTTACTAGCAATGCTTATTGGGACTCTGGCATGAAGCCCAGCTTTGGATTCGATTCCAGAGCCCAGATGAGGAAGAGGTGCGGTTGCCTCAAATCCATTTAACCTCTATGGGAAGGTAGCTCCCCCTCCCCTCAAGGCCAAGGCATTCCTTGGCCTCCCTGGCTCTCTTGTGCCCACTCACCTCCAATTGTGCTCTCCTGGTACTCGTGGAACTGTCCCTTGACAAAGCGGAGGACGAGGCTGGATTTGCCCACCGCAGACTCCCCCAGCAGGACCAGTTTAAATTGACAGATCTTGTTCCCAGCGGCTGGTCCGTTGGGTCGTGCTGCGCCTCCCCGACCCGCCATGGCCCGTCCCGCTGTAGTGGTCCCAGTGAGCGTGGGGGCGGGGGCCAGTGCTACGTAAAGAGGCACTTAGTGGGGAGGGGGGCCTCCAACTGCAAGGGAGAAACAAGGAGTATTGGGTGAGTTCAGAGACTGTCACAGGGTGAGCCCTTCTTAAGTCACAGGTCTTTGCCTCTGCCCTCCCTGATGACCTGGCTGACTGCCTCCCCTCCCCTCAACTCCCCACCCTCCACCCCCAGCAGTTAGGAGAAGAGCTATCTGTGTGCTCTATGAACATCTGAGCGGCAAAGAGAAAGGTGGTCTCCCAACTTCAGGCTCATGGTTCTCAGCAACACATTGGTTTCC